TATATAGTGGTTATTTATATATCTATAATTATTTCTTTTAAGTCAGCTTAGGAACTGGCTGAATCCGAAAATTTTAAACTTTTATCGGCAAGATAACATGAAATACCATAAATTATATAAAGCCGAAAAATCCCAATTTACTCATGTCACCTGTGAATAGTCTTTATTATTCTGTACAATCTTGTTCCAGGGGAAAAACACTTATTTATGGAAATGGAAATGTCAAAAGTATGTCTTTCATGTGGCCAAGAGATCAAAATACAAATCACAAGAGTAAGAAACCTGTGCCAAAATATCTTTGGAATAAATTAGGGCATAAGAATATTTCATGTTGTTAATAAAGAATGTAACATATTCACACAGAAAATACAATAAAATAACCAACAAAAGCCTAAATCAAAGATACTAGATAAATTACAGAATAATCTCAACATCCTCTCCTCCTATCGCTAGGCTCAAGTTTGGTTCTGATAGAGGGTTCTTGAAGAGTCCATCACCGTGCTCTTTGCGGCCTGTCGGCCAGGCAGCTGCACCTACGTTCGACGAGAGCACAATGGAGCCGGGGCAGCGATTTTCGATATTCTCATCATCCCCTGAGTCAATAAGATTAGATTTGGCAGTGGTTGCTGAGGCTGCTACCATCATTGAAGAGGAATACCGACGTAAATAGTTAAGTAAACCATTTGTCAAACAGGTGGGCAGGCGAGCCTGCAACCAGGCGCGTGTCGGGCGAATCGTCTGCCATGTTACCAGACCATGAGCTACAGCACGCAGTCGTAAAAGGTCAGGTCGAACAGAGTCAAACTGGCGCAAAGAGTCTGGAGGCATCAGACACTGGCTTACGCCTGGGTGATCGGTTCCTAAATAGGCCAAACCAAGGGCGATAATCGCGCCCGGCGCGCTGACGTCAGTGTTGAATCGAGTGATGCCATCGCGAATCTATCGTTCAATGCAGGTTATCGAAAAAGGGTGGGCAAGTAAATATTGGAAGGGTGGATTAATTCTGTGTATCAAAGTATGCTTATAAAAAACGCATATATTTAAATCTTTAAATTACTGCAAGTGGTAGTCCTAAGAAATTCAAAAGTAATATAGTGAATGTTAAAATTTATTGACATGACGATAATAAGGTAGAAATTAGATTGATGCAGAATATTAAAAAAAATAAAAGTAGGATATCTCCTTAATTTCACACATGAATGGATGCAAAGCCCTCAGTAGAGAGTAACCATTTATCTATAGAGGAGATAAATAATCTTAGTAACAATAGTGGAATCAAAAATGAACAGTGAGGCTTAAAATATGCTAGTGTTATAAAAAAATTATATTCGACATCGAAAAACAACTTTTTAAGTGCTGTCAATAAGAATAAATACCGCTTTCCGAATAATTTCTAAATGAAAATAAGTATATCAAAATTGTTCTAAAACCAAGGCAGAAGTAACTTTTAGGTTAAATCCAGAAAAAAAGACAGTAAACTTACTTGTGGATTACCACCACGCCAGCGTCGATCTTGGCAGAGACTTGTCTCTAGTGTCGAACTAGAAGCTACAGTTGGCGAAGCCAAGAGGTGAGTATTAGTGACTGCAGGAGACAGTGAGGACCTAGGCATCTCAAGATGTGAGTGGTACTGAGCCCGAGAAGCTCGAGTCCGATTTCGTGCTCGAGACCTTTGCTCACTTAGGTTTCGACGACCAGAGAGGCTCCCTGATGATCTGTAGTAGTCATTATAGAAATCTTCTGTTTCCTCACCCAGCATTCCGTCTCCATCGATATCAGCTATCTCTTCCTCAGCGTCTTCTGTCTCTCTGCTAAAATCCTCCTCTTCCTCCTCCTCAATAATATCGTCATCATCACCGGGACTAACCCTCAGAGCAGTCTGTAGACGATTATTCGTTGAGAACGGAGATCGAGAGTGGGCACGTTCTTCCGTTAGGATGCCAGTAACCGTGTTGTGAACGATAAGACTTTCAACCGACAAGATTATATCAGGTAAAAAGGAGTCATCTGAATCACCGGACCTAGGCACATCAGAAGAAGGTTGGGGTTGCTGAGTCGCAGAAACATGAGAAATGGCTCGCCCTCGACTTTGAGCCCTGCTGGTATCGTTACTGCCAACGCAACGCGAGCGAATTCGACCGTGTTGGGCTGGAGCAGCAGAAGCCATACCCCATGAACGTCTAGGCACCCCCCAAGAGGCAGAGTTTCGACGAATTGTGGGACTTGGTGTTATGATTGCGCCACGAGAGTAGCGAGCCTCGCTTGAGCTGCGCAAAGACCATCCTGTTAAAAAATACGCAATCGAAACAAGATATTTTATCTACATCAATGAAAAAACCACTCTATGCTATTGAGCAAAAACAACCAAAAAGATATGTAGATTGATGTTGAAGTACATTTCATTTCGATTGAAGAGGCGAATAGGAGGGAATCGCAAATTTGATTTACCAGAAGCCGAAAGGGGATTATCCTGGAGCCACGAATGAGGATATGTGCAAATAAGTCCTCGGCTCACCAACCTGCGACCTCAATAAATGCCTGCTAAGGTGTGATGGAGGTCGTCAGAACAGGACACCATCCTTTACAAAAATTCACTAAAATACGAAGGATGGACGGCTGCAGTGGACAAAGTTATGCCATAAGAATTAGGTAGGTTTGCAGCCCGCCACTTTTATTGTTTTCGTGTTTTGGAGAATTATCGTGAAGCATGGTGTCCTGCTCTGACGAGCTTCGTCACACGACGGACGAAACCTCTGCAAAGATTTATCGGGGTCGCAGGAAGGTACGCTGAGGACTTGTTCGGACAATTCTAGCAACAGCTTAAGACTTCAGCTTCCAATAAGGCCAACTTACGAATTCTTACCAGTCGCCTCTTAAAACAGAAGAAAAGGTGCTCCAACATGCAAAACAGTATCATAATATTGAAGAGTGGACTAATAGAAAGGCCATTATTTGTGATTTAAATAATAAACTTGGTAGTTGGTTTTCAAGCGTAGGAACCTAGCAAAAAGTGAGTAGAATTTTGCAATTTTCGGTCATATATAGCTCAGAAAAAATGACTTATTTGAGAGCATATAGCATCCGGAAGCTTAATTCGGATTTTGAGGAAAATAAGTCAAGTAATTCGACTATGTACAACACCAAAAACAAGCGAAAAAGAGAAAAAACAGAAATATAGCTTGACTTAGGCGTTGCCAAACCATAGAGTTAATGAAAGAATTCTAAGTACTCGTTCATGCATTCCTTAACTACCTATCAAATCAAAAGGACAGAAAATTTTAACTTTTTGTTAATAGTTGTTTATGGTAGCAAGGATAAAATAAAGCCTTAGATTAAGAAATTAAATAACTTCAAAGTGGAATAATGCGCCACTTGTGATGAGTATTATAAGCCAACAATTATGAACCAGAAAAAAAACTCATCATGTAAATTTAAAATTGACGAAAAATAAAAATAAGTTAAAGCTAGCATAAATAGCTTTTAAGTTATTTGGAGCTGATGATATTATGATTATGTAAATATATGCTATATGATAAAGAAAGAATTAATTATGAAAATCCAGTGGATAAAAAGATTTAAATAATCAGATGTAAAAGGATACATAATTACGATAACTAACGAGAAGCATGACGCAGGCTGATATTGTGCGAGGGTTCCAGATTACGCCAAAGTGAATCATTTCGAGTCGAAGCACTAGTTCCACGCATGCAGCTCTCGTCTCCATCTTCATCATCTTCTAGGTTGTCTCGTTCTGCTTCATCAGCATCCTGGTTCTGCTCCTCTAGTCTCTCCTCTTCCTCTTCAGCACGCTCGTTTCTGGAATCACAGGCTACCATTTCCCTTTCGATAAGCTCAGGCTCCATCGCCTCCGCAAGCTGTTCGTCTCTCTCAAACGACGCCTCCCCAGCAGAGTAGACACCTGAGAGTGAATTGTTTCCAGTTCTGGCTAAGCGGCGACCTCGAAATCTGCCAGAAGCTGTCGACCAAGTGGCTGATCTAACACGGCCTGGAGGAGTACGAGAAAGATGAAGTCGCGTCTCACTTGCAATATTTGGCAAAATAGAAGTCGTTCCGGCATCCAAAGCTGCTGCAGCACTTGCAATCGCCATTGTGTCGGCAAGCTCATTTGAAGAGACAGATGCATTTGAGTAGAACGCATGCTGGCGGGAGCCAGGGCTGACCGGAGCGAGACTCGAGAATTGCCCATGACCCCCAGAACCAATGCTGCTATCAGCACTGCCCCCTGCGCCTCCACTGTCTCCTCCAACTTCACCACTTCTGGTAGCCGGCCCCAGCGAGGCGATGGTGGACGCAGTTAGTCGAGGTCCTATGTCCGGATAAAGGTGAGGCTGAAGGTGGAGTGGCAGAGGCCTGTGTCCAAGAGAGGATAATCGGCGCTCAGCTTGTAGGCTGGGTCCATTTCGGCATCCCGGCTGACCACATAGTGTCGCTGCCAACCAGTCTTCACATAGTCCAGAGCCGGCATGAGTGGACGTGGTGGAGCCTGTGGGGCCAGCTGTACCAGCAAAAAAGCCAAGACCACTGGCATCCACGGTATCATTTTGACCGCCAGTCATATATGCGTAAAGTCGCTCCGTCCAACGCAAATCAGATAGGCCGCAAGCTGTAGTGCCCTTCTAAAAAGTATAATTCGCAAATTCATTTAGGTCCTCGTGCATATAATTAAAAAATATTCAAAACTTATTTTCCACTATTATTTGATGCCTGGACTAAAAGTTATGCTTAACAATGTCATTCAATTCAGCAAGTGTGGCATCTCTCCTCCCCCCTTTTAGTCCCAGGTCCATAAAGCCGCAATCATTATTAATATAATTGGTCCACATGATCGTCTTCACTTGTCAGATTGACGAAGTGTAACTCTGTGTTAGGGATATGCTTGACATTAGTGATACCGACTATGTCGGCGAAATATCTAGGAATGTACCAATTCAACGGACTGATGTTGGAAATTACGATGATTACTATGACAGATAACGCAAAACTAGATATTTTCAGCAAGATCTCTTTAAGCTATGATCAGGTTAAGAAAATGAAGTCACATTAACCCAATACAGCTAGAGGAGACTGAGGCCAAACTAAAGGTCGCATCATCTTTATATTCACATCAATGGCCAAATGGCAGAGATTATTCTTGCCACATCGACTAGAATATGTATATGGTTCAAGAATACTACCACCAGACTTAAAAGGCTGCCTATTGTTATTATTTATTGATTGTATAGAATCGGATAAGTTTAGAAAAATATATCGAAAGGAACTCAAAGGCTGTATGCAAAAGAAACGAAATTTAAACAAATATTTCTCAATTCACGTCATATTATTGGGAGGTTAGTTGTCTCGTTAATATCAAATTATATTCGTGGGAAGGTGGCTTTCGTTTTTGGTAGAGAAAGAAACCTCAGCTACTCGTTTCAATTTCATAGGACTATACTAAAAAAACGGTTTAATTTGCATTGTTTTTTTTTACTAAAGCAAGACTACCAGAATTGGTAGGAACTAAGATAAATCTCATATTCGCATTATCAGACCATATTTTAGTAAGGTAAATGCAATTTCGAG